AGTTGACGCCATACATTCGCAGCTTCGGCAAGGCCTTTCGCCCCCCTGAAAGCTTCCCCTCCGAAGACAGCAGCAGCAGTAGCAGCAGCAGCAGCAGCAGCAGCAGCAGCAGCGGGCGCCCCTACTTGGCTTCTCGCGTGGACAGCTGGTGCTTCGGGTGGAGCGCCTTTTACCTGCTGACGGGCCATGCCCTGTTTGCTCGTGCTGCTCCCCTTTCAGTTTTATCTGCTGCCTGCGGCGGGGCAGCAGCAGCAGGAGCCGCAGCAGGGGCAGCAGCAGGAGCAGCAACAGGTGCAGCAGCAGCAGCTGGAGGCCCTGCTGCTGCGGGCGCGGGGGCCCCTGAACGGGGCGCAGGCCGTTTGCTGCGGACATTTGCCGAGGCGACGCACCTGCTGGCGGCGTCGCCTGCAGCAGCAGCAGCAGCAGCAGCAGCAGCAGGCGCAGCAGCAGCAACTGCAGCAGCAAACGGCGAACCCTGGAGACGCTGCTTGCTGCTGTGGACAGGCAAGGCGCAGCAAGTCTGGAATGAACTTGGAGTCTCTTCTTTGTCTTCTTCTTTTCTTGATTTGGTGCTGCTGCTGACGCGGCCCCACGGCAAAGACAGACTGGCCCTGACAGCAGCACTTAGCCACCCCTGGTTCGCCCCCCTGCAGCAGCAGCAGCAGCAGCAGCAGCAGCCCGCCTGGCGAGTGCGGCTCGGAGAGCTGCCTGAGCTGCTGCGCGCAGTCCGGGAGAAGGCAGCAGCAAGATCCGCTGCTGCTGTTAGCTGCTGCTGCTCTCCACACTCCCCGAAATTGGTAGAAACGCTGCGCCTCGAAGAAGTCTTCGGCGGACCAGCTGCTGCTGCTGCTGCTGCTGAGGGCCCAGGTGCTGCTGCGCCTCCGCTTCAGGCAGCACTTGTCCCCCAAAAGTTTAAAGGAGTTCTCAAGCAGCAGCTCTGCAGAAGCGGCAGGCCTTCGCACACGCTGCTCCTGCGGAGCCAAAGCATGCAGCAACAGCAGCAGCAGCAGCAGCAGCGGCAGCAGCAGCAGCAGCAATTACAGAGACAAGAGAATCAGACACGCCTGCTCGATATCACAAAGGAGTCCCCGCCAACGCTACAAAAGCTGCAGCGCATGCAAGTGCAACAGACGGAGCAACAACGCATTCATCATCCGCAGCAGCAGCAGCAGCAGCACCTGCAGCAGCAGCAAATAATGCAGCAGACTGCAGGCCAGCAGCAGCGTCAAGATAAAGCTCAGCTACAGAAGCAGGAGGCGCAGCCAAATTCACGTGAGCAGCAAGAGCAGCAGCAGCAGCAACCAGCCGGGCAGCAAAATTTAAGGCCAGACCACCTCGTGCTGCAGTCAGTCCAGCAGCAGCAGCAGCAGCAGCTACAGCAGCAAGCAAAAGAAGACATGCATGCTGCTAAACTTTGTAAAAAGCCACTGCAGCAACAGCAAATACAGCAGGCGCAGCAGCCGGTTCGGCCGCAGCAGCAGCAGCAGGTGCAGCAGCTGGAGACGCAGCAGCAGACGCAGCATCAGCATTACCAGCAGCACCAGCAGCAACGGCAGCAGCAAGAAGCCGCTTTAAAGGAGGTGCTCAGCAGAAGCAGCAGCTGTTGGGAGCCGCAGCTGCCAGCTGCAACGGCGCAGGGAAACAGCTTTCTGTCTCGCATGGAGCAAATGCAGCTGCTGGAGCAGCAGCAGCTGCAGCAGCAGCAGCAGCAGCATCTGGTCAGGCAGCAAAACCTGCTGAGGCAGCAACGCCCCTCTTACCGAGAGACACAATTAGCAGCTCCAGAGAAGCTGCCGTCTCTTGCCCTGGCTCACTGCGGGATGTGCGAGCCGCAGCAGCAAGAGCAGCAGCAGCAGCAGCAGCAGCAGCAGGTTGAGCAGCAGCAGCGGCAGCAGCAACGACGCCGCCACCAGCTAGATCAGCTGAGGCAGCTGGAGCAGCAAATGAAAACCCTCAGTAGCTGGGACGCCTCTGAGGCGCCGAGCCAGCAGCAGCAGCATCAGAGCCAGCAGCAGCAGGAGCAGCAGCAGCAGCAGGAGTGGCAGCAGCAGCAAAAGCAGTACCAAGAGGCTCTTCAAAGACTGCATGATCTAATTGTCCTCAGAGACAAGCTGGAGAAGCAGCTCGAAGAACAGACGGCCATAGACAACGCACAGCTGCGGCAGCAGCAGCAGCAGCAGCAGCAGCAAAAGCAGGATCAGAGGCCGCAGCCAGGGCGGCTGCTGCCCATTGACCCGCAAGCATGCACGAAGGCCCAGGGGCATCGGTATGAGCTGCAGGCGCAGCAGCAGCAGCAGCAGCAGCTGCAGCAACAGCAGCAACACCAGCAGCAACGAAGCCGACAGGGACAATCTCAGTACCCTGGAAGAGGCCGCGAGCCATATCCAAGAGCTCGCGGAGGAAAGGCAGCAGCAGCAGCAGCAACAGCAGCAGCAGCAGCACCAGCAACAAAAACAGCTCTCATGAGGTCGCAGCGGAAGCTGGGGCCTCCTGCTGCGCCCCATGTAACACTGTCCATACACTCCAAATAGAGGCAGTGCATTAACCCTTATAATAACTGAATCTAAACCCTAATATTTAAACGGATGGCTGCTGCTGTTGCTGCTGCTGCTGTTGCTGCTGCTGCTGCGCGGCTTGAATTGCATCAGCTTGTTGCGCGCCTCTGCACTGGCTGCGCACGCAGCAGCCGGGGCAGCAGCAGTAGAACAGCACAGCAGCAGCAGCAGCAGGCGCTCCTGCTTTCCGTGGCAGCAGCAGCCACAGTAGAGCAGCAGTAGCAGCTGCTGCTGCCGCTGCTCTCCGGTATAGCAGCAGCTACAGCAGCAGCTACAGCAGAAGCTGCAGCAGGACAGCAGCAGCTGCTGCTGCTGACCCCGGTGCTGCCATTTTGTCTCGTCTGTTCTTTAATGGGAATTTGAAGAGAAACACATTTATTAAGTCCGCTTTTTGTTTGCTGCAGCGCCGCCGCTGCTGCTCTGTGGCTGGCTAGCCAGCAGCTAGCTAACTTTCAGCAGCAACATTAGCAGCTAGCTAGCTTTTCGCAGCCAATTTGCAGCTAGCTAGCCAAGCAGCTAGCTGTGTCTACAATATATGCTAGGCTTGGCAGCAAACGCAGCAGCAGACAAGCCGAAAACGGCTAGCTAGCTGGAGCTAGCTGCTGCTGGCTCAAGCCAGCTGAGGCAAGCCCTGAAGCTGCAGCTGCTGCAGCTGCTGCAGCTGCTGCAGCTGCTGCAGCAGGGGGCCCATCCACGTCGCACAAAAGCCGCAGGAGCGGCGGCGCGGCAGCAGCGGTACTGCCAGCAACCGCAGCTGCCAGCTAGCTAGCTAGCTAGCCAGCTAGCTAGCAGCCACACAGCGCCATAGAGGAGCCGCTGGGACGGCATCGCAGCAGCATTGCTGCAGGCAGCGCTGCCCTCAGCAGCAGCGCCTGCCAGCTAGCCAGCCAGCAGGCTAGCTAGCTAGCTAGCCAGCTAGCCAGCTAGCTAGCTGGCTAGCTAGCCAGCCAGCTAGCTAGCTAGCTAGCTAGCTAGCTAGTGCTTCAGAGGTCGAGGGCCTGCAGCTCCGGCTGGTCCGCCACCACTCCTGTCTGGGAGACCTCCCCCAGGGGCTTCAGGCTGCCGTCAAGGGGCCTCGCCTCCACCACCACGCACAACGTGCTGCTGCTGCTGCTGCTGCTGCTGCTGCTTGCAAGGCAGCAGCGGTGCCGCACCACGGGGGATTCCAGCCACTGCCCAGCCACTCCCTGCTGCCCCCAGCGCTGCGCCTCCACCCTCCGGCTCGGCTTGCTGCTGCTGCTGCTGCAGTTGTTGTTGGATGGAACGAAGGGCTGAATCACGGGGACTAAAAAGCGGCGCAACTCCACACGCTCTGCAGCAGCAGCAGCGGCAGCAGCAGCAGCAGCAGCAGACACGGCAAAGAGGCAGCACACAAGAGGACACAGAGGCGCAGACACCTGTGGCCCTGAAGAGTTCCCGCAGGCACCCCTCCTCAAACAACCCCAGTCTCTGCAGCAGCCCCAGCCCCAGCCCCAGCAGCAGCAGCAGCAGCAGCAGCAGCAGGCTTACTGGGGTCTTTGTGGGGCCGCCAGGGACGAAGGAATTCCTCGCGGGCCTCCGCGCCGCCCTCAGCAAAAGAAAAGATCAGCTCCAGCCACCGCCAGGACTGCAGCGTCTCCGCCTGGGGCGAAGCAAGCAGCAGCAAACTGACACGCCACCAAACCCGCTGCTGCTGCTGCTGCTGCTGCTGCGGGCGTGCAGCGGCTGCAGAGCCGCAGGTAGCAGCTGGGGTAAGAGGGAAGAAAGACAACTGACATATTGAATCCAAAGATGCAAGGAGACTTAGAGAAAAAAGAGATTGAAGTGAATTTAAAAAGAAACAAAAAGAAACAAAAAAGATACAATAAGAAAAAAGACAAAAGGCAAAAAGAGAGAACATAGAAGCAGCGAGAGACACGTGCAGCGACACAGGTTCTCAGCAGAGAGGATCCGGGAATTAAACGCCAAAGACGCCGTAGCAGCAGCAGCAGCGACAGCAGCAGCTGCCGCAGCAGCAGCAGCACAACAGCAGCAGCAGCCGCAGCAGCAGCAGGTACGCGTGGCTCACCGGTGCGCCGCGCAGCTCCGCGTAGACGGAAATGACTAGCAGCAAATTGTCGAGGCGCGTTGCTGCTGCCTGCAGAGAGAAGACAGAGAATAGACACGGGAGGAGGCACTGCTGCTGCTGCTGCTGCTGCTGCTACAAGGCTTGCTGCTGCAGCAGCAGCGGCTGCAGCAGCAGCGAAGGCAGTAAGCTCTTGCAGGCACGCGCTACCCAGATCCACCGAGAAGCAGCAGAAGGAAGAGGGATTTTGAGCCCCGCAGCAGCTGCAGCAGAAACTGCGGGAAGCAAACAGGCAGCAGCAGCAGCAGCAGCAGCAGCAGCAGCAGCAGCGCATCGCTTACGTCTCCCTCCACGACTGCCTGAGCAGCAACCCAAGGAAGCGGAGCAGCAGAAAATATGCGGGGCGGCAACGGCCAGCTGCAGCAGACAAGCTGCTGCAGCAGCAGCAGCAGCCATCGCAGAAGGGATGCAGGGAGTCCTTTTGTTGGATCTTCTTCTGCAGATGCTTGATCTGCTGCTGCTGCTGCTGCTGCTTTCTTGGTTGCTGGGTCTGGCAGCTGCCGCCATGTCAGCAGCGGCAGCAGCTCTTCATAGAAGTAGTAAGGCCTCGCTGGTGTTTTGGCTGCAGAGGCATCGCAGCTGCTGCTGCAGCAGCTGCTGCTGCTGCTGCCATCGCAGCTGATGCTGCCAGCTTTAGGCAGTTCATTGGGCTTTTCTGCTCCATCTGTGCTGCTCCTTCTGCAGCGGCTGCTGCTGGTGCTGCTGCGTACTGCTGCCAGGAAGTGCTGCTTTGCTGCAGCAGGAGCAGCGGCACACGCGCAGAGCCACAGCCCCCGCAGGTCAACAGCAGCAGCATTGCTGCTGCTGATGCCCTGAAGGCCTTGCTGCAGCCCTTCTATTGCTGTGTCTAGCTCGTCAATGGCCTGCAGCAAAAGTGAGGCACTGTCTTCGCTGCTGCTGCTGCTGCTGCTGCTAGAGGCAATCGCGCTTGCGAGCTTGTCCGTGTGGCCCCCTTGCTGCTGCTGCTGCTGCCGCTTGAGCTGCTTCTGTTTCCAGAGAAGCACGCGCAGCAAACAAAAGGACGCCAGCAGCAGAGCTGTGCGGCAGCAGCAGCACTGCAGCAGCAGCAGCCGCTTCGTGGTCTGGCAGCAGCTGCGCATCAGCTGCAGCTGGCTCTGAAAGCTGCAGGAACGAGTAGCAGAAGCAGCAGCAGCAGCAGCAGCAGCAACTTTTCGTGTGCACGAAGAGCAGCACGCCACTCAATACTGACATGCTGTTGAGGCTCCTGCCTCAGCAGCAGCAACAGTAGCAGCAGCAGCAGCAACAGCAGGCTTACGAGTGCAAAGCCATCTTAGCTGCCTCTCGCAAGTTCTGTAGCTCTCGGCAGCGAGCAGAAAAGGCATCATCAGTAACAGCAGCAGCAGCAGCAGCAGCAGCAGCAGCAGCAGTAGCAGCAGCAGCGTCCTCAGGGGGGCTCTTCGCCGCTGAAGCAAACTCAGAACCGCCGTTTGCTGCCTGCGAGCACGGGGGACCCTCGCTGCTGCTGCTGCTGCTGCTGCTGCTGCCTGCATGGCGTAGCCCCTCGAGTGCGAAAGCAGCAAAGGAGTGCAGCAGAGAAAGCAGCTGCATGCGGCCCTGCAGCAGCAAGGTGGCAAAAAGCAGAAGCAGCAGTTGTCCAGTGCGCAGCGGCAGCAGCAGCAGCAGCAGCAGCAGCTAGTAGAGCTGCAGCAGCACGGTCCGCGCACCTTCACGAAAGCTGCTAAAGGCGGCAAAGGCGGGGGGCTGCTGCAGCTGCGCGGCTGCTGCATGCGTCTGCTGCTGCGGTGCTGCTGCAGCTGCAGCAAACAGTCCCTCCAGCAACAGTGGGCACGGCGCACCGCAGCAGCAAGGGCGGAAACCAGCTCCTCATCTGCTGCTGTTGCTGTTGTCTCTGCAACAGCAGCAGCAGCAGCAGCTGCTGCTGCTGCTGGAGCTGTGCCTGCTGCTGCTTTCAGCCCAGCAGCAGCCGCCTCTGCCTCAACAGCAAGAGCCACTGCCCCCAGCCACGACTGAGAAGCAGCAGCAGCAGCAGTGCGGGCCACTGCATGCAGCGCAGCAGCAGCAGCAGTGTGCTGCAGCCCCGTTACAGCAGCACAAACTGCTGCCCTGTACACGACATTAAGGGGCATTTGGCCTGAATGAACAGCAGCAGCAGCAGCAGCAATTGCTGCTGCTGCTGCTGCTGTAGGCTTCGGCGCATCAGCACCTGCTGCTGCCCGGAGAAGCCTGTGCTGGAGCAGTAGCTGCTGCAGCATAAGTAGCAGCGCTGAGCGGTATGTGCGTATCCACTCGAAGTGCTGCTGCACAGCTTCAGCGGCTTCTTGCTGCTGTTGCACTGTTTCTGCTGCTGCTGCTGCTGTCCTCAAGCTCCAGGAGACGCAGCCGTTGAAGTGTTGCTGCTGCTGCTGCTGCAGCACAGGGCAGCGGGGCCCTTGAAGGGCCGGCGCGAAGCAGCTTTTGAAGTGCCTCGCCAGCGTGGGAGACTGCAGATCTAGCAGGACTAACAACTTGCTGCTGCTGCTGCTGCTGCTGTTGCTGCTGCTGCTGCTGCTGCCGGTTTGGCGCTGTTGCTCCAGAGAGAGAGACGAGGCTGGACAGGAGCTGAGGTGCTGCTGCAGTGCTCTTGCTGCTGCTGTCCCTGGCGGTGCAGCAGCAGCCACTGGCAGCAGCAGCAAGTTGCGCAGCACAGACAGTGGAAGCAGAGGCAGCGCAGCAAGAGGTAGGGATCCGTCTTGAGGCAGAGTGACAGTTCGCAGCAGCAGCAGCTGCTGCTGCTGCTGTTGCTGC